ATATAAGTCAGCACAGCTCATTGGACAACTATATTTATGTATTTGATTCCGCTAGACCCTTAATCTTGTTAATCTGTTCAGAGGCCTTCGGTAATCCAAGGATTACTAGTCGGTTACAATGCTAAACCTATAGGGGCGGGTTTGGGTCGTGACACCAGGATTAACATCACTAGCACCATCACCACCTCTACGTACATCAATCTTAGACAAACTCAGACGACCTCTGCGTTCATGAATAACCGAACCACTTTCCCCAAAACCTCCTAACAACAAATCTCTTCGCTTCTCCGGTAAACCGATAAATACAGTCCGTGTCAGAATCGGAATGGCCTTGGTTGAAGCACAGTGCCAAACATCAACGTTATCATTAGTATATTTTTTAGATAACACAACAGTAGAGACGGCCCTCATTTGCGAATCTTCTGGCATGTCACTTGTAGAATACTTCAAATATCCCTTCATTTTACAATACGTAATCCCCTTTTTAATATTTGAATTTTCAAGGCTAGACATCACCATCCATGGCACCTGTTTGTCGTTAATTGAAGAATAACTATTCCCATAATAGACTAACTCGCATTGACAATCCACAAGGAAAATAAAATACGTCTGCAGACTGTCATTACCATCTAACCTCCGATCATACACATTTACTCTGACTAATCCACTGGCATTGGGTGCGCAACGGGGGGAATATTTTACTAATATTTTATCAACCTTAATACTCTTTTGTTTGTATCTCATCCTTGACTGAGAAAATAAATTAGGCAAAGCAAGTTTAATACAGCTGAAATCACTTGTTGAAACACCTTCAACAACACCAGTTTTTATATTGTCCACCTCCATTCACCTGAACACCTCCCACTTAACTAAGTGATCCTTTTTTTCCTCATCGTAACTCTTCCAAATAAAGTCCTCATTAACTTCTCAATCTTTTTTGCAATCCTAACCGAAATTTGAATAAGGATAAAAAAATATATAGGAATGCAACTCAACATGGACTGCACCAAAGTGTATCTCCTCCCTTTAGATAACAAGGCTCTCTTCCAACCACCCAATCTTAACAATAACAAGGTTCCAAAAAGCCTCTACCCTAGGATCTCCCCCCAACGTAAGCCCCAAATACATAAAAAGAAAGTTCTTAAAAGGACAACCTAACATGATTGCTATCCTTTGCACATAATTTTGCTCCAGATTAATACCTACAACACTACTCTTGGTAAGGTTAACTTTAATACTTGACACAATTTCAAAAATTCGCAAAAGTGCTAGCGTATTACCAACCTTGCTTTCTTTCTTTGATGAGAAAAAGATAGTGTCATCCACAAACTGTAAGTGACTAACACAAATCTTATCCCTCTCTACCACAAACCCCTCGACAACACCCTTTTCCTTCAAATAATCTCCCCAACACATCCACAACCAAAATAAAAAGAAAATGGGACAAAGGGTCAACCAACCTTAATCCCCTAGATGCCAAAAAAGACTTTCCTTCCTTATCATTCACTAAAAATGACATGCTGCATGACGACATACACCCTTAAACCCACTTCCTCCACTTACTATTGAAACCATTCCTTTGCATAACAAAATCTGGAAAACCTCAATCCACATGATCATAAGCTTTCTCAAAGTCCACTTTGAAAATAATACCCTCATTTGTGTAAATCCCTATATTCTTCAACCACCTCATTAGTTACTAAGATCGCATCCAAAATTTGTCGCCCGTTCACAAAGGCACCTTGTGAGGAAGAAATCATCTCTCCAAGAACAACCCTAAGCCTTTTCGAAAGCACCTTTTCCAATATTTTGTAAAGAGAAGTTGCCAAACTAATGGACCTAAAATCTCCTATGTTGACCGACTTGTCTTTTTTAAGAATGAGACAAATGAATGTTGCATTAGTACATAAATTAACCTCCCCATTTAAAAAAAAAATCACTACATACTCTCATTAAATTCCCTTTCACAATGTCTTAACAATCCTAAAAAACTGCCATTGAAAACCTATTGGGCTTGGAGCCTTATCTTTCACATTTGAACACAACCTACTGCATCTCATTTTCCTCAAAGGATCTCTCAAGCCATCTAGCCTTAGAAATATCCACCGGTTTCCATTCAATGCCTTCAATCCTTGGCCGATCTACCTCCTATGAGAGTATAGGTTCGAATAAAATTTGAAAATCTCATCAACAATTTAATCCTCTTTACTTATAATCAACCCTTGTCCGACTTCCAAACTCTTAATGAAATTCTTTTTCCTCTTTTCTGATGCGACTTTATGAAAAGATTAGAATTTACATCATATTCCTTTGCCCATTTTAGTTTTGCCTTTTGTCCCTAAAAAATCTACTTCCTAAAAATTATCTTTTTCAATTTCATTTTCAACATTGTCCTTCCATTCCGCAAATCCCTAGACAAACCTTCTCTAATCTCCATTGCATCAAATTCTTGTATACTCCTAACAATCTCCACTTTTGACTCAGGCCAGTTTAGCAAAATGGTTGGGACTAACTTAGGGCTGTTTTGGGAAGATAGTTAAAATTTTTTGGTTTTTTTGTGTGAGAGAGAAGCGGGTTAAAAGTTGAAAAGTGACTTTTAACCCACTTTCCAAAACATCTCTTAGTCAACTAAAAGATAAAATTGACTAAAAAGTTAATAAGACAAAATATCATATCTAAATCTTAATCATTTTATTTTCTTTCCTCACAAAACTACAAAAAAGTGAAAAATTTATCCCAAACAGAATTTTTTTAGCCATGCTAAAATAACCAAAAAGTCAGACTAAAAAAATTCTTCCTAAACGAAGGCTCATTCAAATCACCAAAGACCCTCGCTTCCATACTTTCAAATTTTCCTTAATCCCTCTCAGCTTTCTCATAAACTCAAATTACTTGATACTTACAGATGAATTTTATTATTGTTTCGTTTGATTTTTAGATTTTTTTAATTTTTTAAAAAATCAAAAAAATTAATTTGGTGAAAAAAATTTAAAAATAAAAAAACATATCATTTTTATATAATTTTATCTTTTTTGGAGGGCAATAATAATTTTTAAAATTTTAAATATTTATTTGTATCAAAATAATTCCTATTTTGTGAATGGATTGTTTGGTTTGAGTTTTTTAAATTTAATTTTCAGAACATTAGAATTTTTTATTTTCCGTATCTTTTTGTTTTCACTAATTTTTTTAATATTTTAAGTAATTTTTTTTTTAATTTTTAGATATACCTAACATAAATAAATTTAAAAAGTATAATATTTGTAAAAAAATCTTAAAAAAATTTATTAAATACCAAAAATAAAAAAATATGAAAATTCAATACATTTTTGTATTCTTATGTATCTATTAATTTTTTAAAATATATTTTTTTACAAATTTTTATTTTTTAGATATTGGGTAAATTATACTGACCCCCTTGAGGTTTGGTCCAATTACATTTTACCCCTTAACGTTCCGAAAATTACGTTCTCACCCTTGTGGTTAATAGTCTCATTTCACAAATAGGAATGGCAACGGGGCGGGGCGGGGCCGGGGATCACACTCCCCGTCCCCGATGGTAAAATTTTCCCTATCCCCGGCCCCGATCCCCGACGGGGACCTATCACTGCCCCCCGTCCCCGTCCCCCAACGGGGATCGGGTTTCCCCGACCCCGAAATTCCCCGGACCCAAAAAAAAAAAAAAAAAAAAAAAAAAAAAAAAACTCAAAAAGAATTAAGTGTTTGTCTTCCATCTGTTGCTTTTTTTTTTTTTTTTTGAGTCGATCTGATCTGAGAGAGAGAGAGAGGGAGTAGAGATCTGATCTAACTCTAAGTCGATCTGCTCGTCTGAATTCAAAGGGCAGATCTGAATCTGATCTGGCCTTGATCTGCTCGTCGCCCGTCGTCCTCCCATCTCTCTGCTGCTCGTCGTCGTCAGAGGTGGCGCTCCTCGTCGTCGTCCTAGTTGGAGGTGGCATCGTCGGAGATGGACTGTGTAGCGTCTCAGACGGAGAGGAAGAGAGAGAGAGAGAGGGAGTAGAGGGAAGAGAGAGAGAAGGCATTAATGAAATGAAACAAAAAAATAGAAATGAGAGAGGGTTAAAAGAGAGACGAAAACAAATAAAATAATAAAAAAATATATTATATATATATATAGATCAGTTCGGGGACATGCGGGGCGGGGCCGGGCCGGGGCCGGGGATTGGGCATTTATCACCGTCCCCGGCCCGAAATTAATCGGGGATTGGTTTTTGAATACCATCCCCGTCCCGTCAGGGTATTTTTCGGGGAAAACCCGCTCAAATCGGGGTCGGGGGATCGGGTCCCCGTCGGGCCGGTTTCAAATTGCCATCCCTATTCACAAACCCTCCTATTTATATAAAAGGTAACAACTCTTAGTAGAAAAATAGAAAAAATTACATTGAAAAAAAAAAATTAAAGCAAAGGAAAAGGAGCAAAAAAACAACGGAAGTAAAGTAAAGCATGAAAAGAGGAAGTGTATGAGTTCAACGTCTTCATGCCGTCTAAATAATTACAATAACATGGGGGTTAGTGTAATTTTTCAAACGTCAGGGAATGATATGTATTAAATCCAAACCTCAAGGGGTGTAAGTGTGATTTACCCTTAGATATATTTAGGAAACGTAATAAACAAAATACTTAAAATTTTAAAAATATTCATTAAAAATAAAAAATAAAAAACAAAAATATTTAATTTTTTGAACCCAAAAAATTAAAATTATTTTGGACAAATTACATATACCCTCTCGAGATTTAGCAAAATTACAGATACTCCTGAAGTTTGAGAAATTACAGATAGCTCTGAAGGTTATATTTGCATAACAAATTAGGGGGCATTTTGTTATGAAAATATAAACCTCAGGGGTAATTTGTTATGAAAATATAAATCTCAAGAAATATCTGTAATTTTCAAAACTTTAAAAATATCTGTAATTTAACTAAATCTCGAGGAGGTGTATGTAATTTGCCCAATTATTTTTAAATCAAACCAAACCAGGCTAATTTGGAAATTCCTGAAACCCCACTTTGCGTCTCTGTGAAACAGTGAGAGGGAGAGAGAATTTGAGGTCTCTGTATGTGTATCAGTATGTAGGTTCAATTCAATTCAAACAGTATTCGAAGCAGAGAGAGAGAGAGAGAGAGAGATGAGCAGTACGCAGGTGGCGCACTCGCTGGCCTTCAGGGTAATGAGGCTATGCAGACCTTCATTCCACGTGGAAACACCTCTCCGTTTCGACCCCTGCGATCTGATCGGCGGCGAAGATCTCTTCGACGACCCCATGGCGGCGTCTCACTTCCCTGCGCTCCTCTCGAAGCACTCCCCCAAATTCAGCGACTCCGATCTCTCCTACCGCTCCCGATTCCTCCTCCACGACCCCTCCGACGCCCTCGGCCTCCCCGGCCTCCTCGTCCTCCCCCAAGCCTTCGGTGCCATATATCTGGGAGAGACGTTTTGTAGCTACATCAGCATCAACAACAGTTCCACTTTTGAAGCCAGGGAGGTCATAATTAAGGTCTCTGATCATTTTTTTTCTGACTTTATAATTAATTCAACTCAAATCATGTGATGATGCGTTTTGCAAATTGTACGATTTGCTCCATTTTTAGGAAAATTGAAATCTTTTACTATAAGATTGTGTTATAAATTTAAAATACTTGGACCTAAATGGAGAATAGGCTTTGACTACTAGAAAGTATACGAGTGCGTGCAACATGCAATGTACAATCAATTTAAACATTGGTAACCTATTCCGTTAGGCTATGTTTGGTTGTTTGGTCGAGGTATTTGGGGAGGGATTTGGAAAGGGAAAGGGAAAGGGAAAAGCGGTGTGAAACTAGTTAAAATATAGGAATGTTTTGTTCATATTTCACTTACCTTTTTCATTTTTCTTTCCAAATCTCTACTCAAATTCCCCAACCAAACACAACATTAGGGCACTCATTAACAAAACTCATTTAAAATACATGGACCGAAATGGAGAATAGGCATTGACTACTAGAAAAGTATAAAGGCTTATAATGTGTAAGGGAGGATCTTTTTAGATCACACTGCTTAGGCCCCAGATCAAATGTGCATTATGTGTTTCACTTCACACACATTCTATTCTACTAGTCTTCTATATCCATAAGAAAAGCTTCCAATAATCTATGTGTGCATAGATCAACACTTAAAAATCAAAAGAAAATGATGACTATACACTTGCTAGCTGAGGTTTACATGTTTTGAAGATATATACATAACTTCAATTGACTCGTCATCAATTCGTTACAGGCAGAAATTCAAACGGAAAGGCAGAGAATATTGCTTTTGGATACATCAAAATCACCTGTTGAATCAATACGTGCAGGAGGCCGTTATGATTTTATTGTGGAACATGATGTGAAAGAACTTGGTGCACACACGTAAGATATAATTACCAATAATGTCGAATATTTTCAATTTTGTTGGTTGTCCTTTGTGTTCTAATCTTTCTAATGCTGCTTCACCATCTTAAGGCTTGTCTGCACTGCATTGTACAATGATGGGGATGGTGAACGTAAATATCTTCCGCAATTCTTCAAGTTCATAGTTGCAAACCCACTTTCAGTTAGGACAAAGGTACCACCCTACGACCTAGGCATACGCCAAATTAATTTGTATGTTTACATGCATTCATTTTTGTGGAGATGGTTATGCTTAACTAATGCCAACAATTGCTGGCTGACTGGAATGTAGTTTTAACTTCTTTCATGCATGTCGTTATTGTTACATTTTGTTTCCTTCTCAAACATAATTTGTATTTATTTCTCTTGTGCAGGTCCGCGCTGTCAAGGTATGTTGAAATTTTTTGAGTGTTGATCATGCCTAGATATGCATATTCATGCAGTTGATTTGAATTTCTGAAATTAAACAGTTCAGGATTTGGTCACGTGTGTTGTCCCACCTGTCCTTTTTCTCATTTTCCTTGGGATTGGTGGGGATTTCCTGGAAAATGCGGTTCAATATGGAATGAACTTAAGAACCAGTATCATATATGTCATCATAAATCTGCTTTGCCGCTTGGTTTTCTATCATCTCTATCCGTCATTCTGTTTGCTCTTCAAACTTTCACCTTTGGTGAGATATGGCATTTGAGCTTATTTTAATCATTTTATGTTTCTAGTCCTTTTCTAGCTCTCTTACTACATTTTGGAAATCTATTTTTAACTTGTTTGTTTGTTTTTTTTTTCTTTCTTTCTTTCTTGGTTATATTTATTAAGAGTGTAATAAATATCTTTTTTATTTCACATTTGGTCAAATTCCTTCTTATAAGCAATCAAATCGATGTTAAGAAATTTTCTTTTTTTTAATCATTTTATGCTTCTGGTCCTTTTCTAGCTCTACATTTTGGAAATCTTTTTTTTTTTTTTTTTTTCTTTTTTTATATGTTATAGAAGAGGTGTGTTTAAGTGTGTAAAGTAAACCTATATTATTTCATATTTGGTTAAATTCCTTCTGGTAAGCAATCAAATCTATGTTAAGAAATTTTCTTTGAAGACTCGTCGTTTCTATCATAGTTGCATCCCCTTCCATATCAGGAAACTACATTTTTGGAGGCTTGCATTGAAAATCATACAAAATCAAATCTTTATATGGACCAAGTTGACTTCGAACCAGCTCAGTATTGGAGTGCAACAATTCTTACAGCTGATGATCACCAATCAGAGAAAAGTGATTCAACAAGGTGGTGACTAATTTTTAGATGGATATACATACATACATATTATGGCCTTAGTTTTCATTGATTCCGAGGCTGATCTGTTCACTTTTCTTGTTTACTTTTCAATTTATACGAAATTGGTCTGGCAGAGAGATATTCAAGCCACCCGTTCTCATCAGATCTGGGGGAGGAATTCACAATTATCTTTTTCAGTTGAGATCATCCTCACAGTCTGCTCAAACAAAAGTTGAGGGAAGTAATATCCTTGGAAAACTTCAAATAACATGGCGTACAAATTTGGGTGAACCAGGGCGCCTGCAGACGCAGCAGATTCTTGGCAGTGTAAGCGAATATTCTTAAATGCCGATTTAATGCTTCATCTCCACCCAGTGTTGACTTAATTTACAATCGTGGTATTCCTTGCGTTGTGGATGTATTAGATTATAGGTTGTTATTACCTTATATGTTTTGTGTTGTATGGGTGTTTGTGTGTGCCCCCATAAGCTCATGGATAGACAAACCAAGGAGTTGACATACATTACACTTTCGAGAATTTGTAGCTGGCCATATATGGTTGAGTTGAACTCAATTTGGAGGATCTCTATAGGCGATCACTTATGTTTTATCTTTGAAGTCTAGGAGGTTCAATTGCAACTGTTGTTAAATGGCAGGAGTTGATGCACACAGATTTGCATGTGCATTAACAGGTGGCAAGCAATCTTCCCATCTTTCAATACACAAACAATTACACAGCCCTCACCAGTGTAGTTCATAAAATTGCAGAAACCTGTCTTGGCATTCTTCCTTTCTCTTATCAATTTGATTTTGGCAAATGGGCTTAACAAAGGAATCCTTGGGGGAGTGGGTGATAAGAGAAGATGTGTTGCATGATCATGTCATGAAGGAATAAAGTTTGTACAGAAATAAGATCTTCTTTCTTCAGTTTTAAGGAAATTAAGATAGCTGATTATTAATCCATGAGACTGAGACAGATATAATGCTAATCTATTTCTAATTTGAATTTATTTTGTTAAACAATTTGTATTGGACATGCATATGCATGTTCAGCATCTAAAAGTTTCTCTTCTGCAGCCCATCACACGCAAGGAAATTGAGTTACAGCCAGTGAAGGTACCTTCAGTTATCATCTTGGAAAAACCCTTTTTGGTAAGTTCTCACAAATCGCCTTATCTATGCATCTCGAATACTTAGCAAAATTCTGGGGCAGCTTATATGGAAAAATAATTTTGTGGATATTTGAACCTCTCCTTTTGTGGGTAGACAACAATGGTCCTCTTCATTGTTCATTGTGCAGATTCATACAGTCAATAAGCAATCTAAAAACCAATAGTTTTGTTAATATTTGGTTCCATTTTTAAGAATTATCCATTGTATGACATTAGCCACATTATGATATATTTTTTTTATAAAATTTACTCAGTTTTTCCAGATTTGTTTGTAAAAATTTTATTGCCATTCTTGCTTTCTAGATTTCTGGGCATGAGGGTCAGTATAGCTTGTTCTTATATGACAGGATGGTAGGCTTGAGTTTGATTTGGAAAAAGATTTCAAACAATAGTTAATCTGAACTGGTCAGTTGTCAAATACAAGTCACCAGCTTAGAACTGGCATGATATAGAATGACCTAGCAGGGTTGTGATATAACCCAGCATTTGGACTAATCAAGAAAACTTGCCTGAAAACAGGGTGAAGACTTTAAGTTCATAACTCTAAAAGTGTTGAATACCCAATAAAACTGAACCTCAATTGAACTGGTCAGTTGTCAAATACAAGTCACCAGCTTAGAACTGGCACGATATAGAATGACCTAGCAGGTTTGTGATATAACCAGCATTTTGGACTAATCAAGAAAACTTGCCTGAAAACAGGGTGAAGACTTTAAGTTCATAACGCAAAAAGTGTTGAATACCCATAAAACTGAACCTCAATTGAACTGGTCAGTTTTCAAATACAAGTCACCAGCTTAGAACTGGCTCGATATAGAATGACCTAGCAGGTTTGTGATATAACCCAGCATTTGGACTAATCAAGAAAACTTGCCTGAAAACAGGGTGAAGACTTTAAGTTCATAACTCAGAAAGTGTTGAATACCCAATAAAACTGAACCTCAATTGGTTACTGAAAGGCGTTTACCATCTTCAGTTCTCAATCTTGAATTTTGTCTGTCTCATCAACTGTCAAACCTTTGACTATAGAAGCCTTAGCTCTAAAGCTACTTTGTATTTGATTTGATTTTGTTTCAATTTCAGAGCTAATAATCAGCCGCAAATCCCTTGCTAGGCCAATTTGCTTTATTCTTTTTCTTTTCTTGAAATTAGCATTCATTTTTTCTTTTGAGTGCATGGTGATCAATTTAGCCATCCTGATCAGGGGTAGTTTTACTTAGAAGGTATCATAGACCATATGATACATCCAAGAGATCCTTATCAGCAGCAGATCCTATAATGGAAGTACACACACTAATTAACCTGTTCTTCTAATCTACTTGCTTTCTTTGGTTTGGTGCAACCGGGGTTTGTGTTGGGTGTGTTACAAAGTTTTTTTTGGGGGGGGGGAGCTTGACGGAAGAGGCGTTGGAAGGCTTGGATACTTGCTTCCCACTGTTTGTTTTGGTTGAGCGAAATAGGAGTATATTTCAGGATGTGTCATTTAGTTCTTTGGTTAGAAAGCAGGCTTCTCATGGTGTTGCATAGTTGGGTTACGGATTCGGTTGATCTTGATGTTTTGGCTTTTGTGGACTTTGGGGGATTTCATTAGTTAGTTTTGTTGAGGCTGGTGTGGGTTGCTATTTCTTTCTTGGGCAAATTACATATACACCCCTCGAGGTTTGGTTAAATTACAGATACCCCCTGAGGTTTCAGAAATTACATCCCGCCCCCTGAGGTTTGTATTTTCATAACAATTTACCCCCTGAGGTTTATATTTCATAACAAATTACCCCCTAATTTCTTATGCAAATATAGCATTCAGGGGGGAATTCGTAATTTCTCAAACCTCAGGGGGGTATTTGTAATTTAGCCAAACCTCGAGGGGTGTATATGTAATTTGCCCTTCTTTCTTTGTATTCCTTGCATCGTCTTGATGCTTTTCTAATAAAGTTTGATTATTTATCAAAAATAAAAAATAAAATACTTTTCAGTTTTGTTTAAGACTTTGGCTAAAAATGGTTGAAATTTCCAGGCTCACAAGTTGTGGTTTAAAGGGCTAATTAGCATGCACAATTTTTTTCCTAACCAAAGCATCATCTACTTATTTGGTTGTTTTAACCATGAATTAAGATTTCAGCAGATGATCCATTTGGTTGCCCCCAAACCATGTTCATGTCATACTCTCAATTCTTTAATTTATTTGAAATCACAAGCACTCAATGCTTGTTGTGTCTTTGTTCTCATAAAATAGCACATGCTTTAAAGTATGAGAGGAAAATTGCCTTGAACGCGTCCATCTTTGGTTCCAAAAAAGGCATATTTGCTTGAAAGCCTGTCCCTTTATAGCATGACAATTTATTTTGACTATGTAATTAACTTAGATGACTTCATGCTTTTGTAGGTACACTTGACTCTCACAAATCAGACGGATAGGATACTGGGCCCTTTTGAGGTCTGGTTATCACAAAGTGATTTAGCTGATGAGAAAGTTGTTATGATCAATGGCCTTCAGACATTGGTAAGGCGTTTAAGTAGTTTTCAATAATCTTTTTATTTTGTAATAGATTTTATTTCTGGTAAAGAAGCATTCTCTATCAAGGGTTTTACTTGGCACATACCCTTGGTATTTGCTAAATCTATCATTCACTAATTTAGGCATTTTCTTCAGTGATTACTCATCTTAGTAACTATGAATTACGATGATATAATTGCTTGTGCCTAAGCAAATAACTTGGCTTCTCATCTAAAACCAGAGTGCTACCCATGACCTTAAGATGGTTGTGCAACACAAAAAGCACAGTTGATTCCATAGGGTTTATGTGATGAGACAAACATGATTACGGATGCATCTTTGGCTATCCTTCTTAGTGAGCTCATGAAGATGTTTCTCTGTTATACTGATGTATGAATTTTGGCGTCCATGTACAGGCTTTACCACAGGTGGAAGCATTGAGCTCTACAAATTTCCAGCTGGTAAGAATAGTGTTTCTGAACTTCAACTTATGGGCAAGTAAAATTATAGTCGAATTGTATAAGAAAAAATATAAGGAAAAGGTTATGTGGAAACAATTTTTCACATATATCAAACTGCATTCTGGGTCTATCTATATTGCCTTGTGGTGGAAATTCTTTTAGAAAAAGTCGGGGAACACAAACTGATCACAGAACCGGACACAACCCTTGCATAATTTTTTGGTTCTATATAGGTAGAAGTAGGGCTGTTCACGGGTCGAGTCGAGTCGGTTTTACCACTGAACCGTCACTCGAACCGACCTCGTCGGTTTACAGAAGTGGTCATCCGATTTCGACCCAAATATTGCTCGAAACCGTACACATCGGGTGCTCCATTTAGCGGGCTGTTTTCGGTCGGCTAATCTTCCATTCATTGCTTCAATTCCATGGCTTTCGTCCCTTCCTTTCTCACACAAATCACAGAAACATACATATATGCAACATAACACAATCACAGTAGCATATTATACAGATCTCAGAGATAACAAACTCTCTCTCACACACACTAGAAAGAATGAAGTAAAATTTGAAAATAGAGAGAAGATACAAATCTTTCTGCCATGGCACAATGTCACCGTTATCTATACTATACATCACCGCCATGTACGATTCTTGATCTTCCGCCAAAAGGGTTTGGATTTCGGTAGATCAAAGACTCGAAGTTGATGATGGCTTTTGGGTTCGATTGGTGGATTAGAGAGAGAGGGAGATGAAACTGTAAGAGAGAGAAAGGGTTCAATGGCTTCTGGGTTTTGGGTGTGGTACATCTCAAACTTGAGAGAGAAGAAGAGGGTAGATGAGAGGGTGAGAGAGATAGAGACGGACATGATGGCTTAGATCAAAGACTCCACTATCTGCTGTGTAACCCACTGCACTTAGACATATAAGTAAATTGAAAGAGAAAAAGGGGGAGACCAGAGAGAGAGAGAGATGAAAGAAAGAGAAGTTGGGGTTGAAACTTGAAAGGGGGAGAGGGGGATATGAAAGGTTGAGTTGAGAGGGAGAGAAATGAAAGAGAGGGAAGACAAAAAGGTTAGAGAGTGGGTGGATAAAATAATGAAGTCTGAATATTCAGAATAAAATAATAAAAGGCTTGTCTTGGGAAAGTAGATGTTGGAACATAGTCAAACTTTGGAAACATAACTCACTATTTTAAATATAAAGTTTCAGGTGTAGTTTGTATAATAATAAGTCGGTCGGATCGGTTTAAATGATTTTTTATATGAGGAGCCCGATATCCGACCAAAATTTGAACAAATTTTCTAAATTTAAACCGCTGCTGACTGTGAGATTTTTGAAACTGCCCATACTTGGGTCGGGTCGGACGGTTTGGTTCGGATTTGTCAGGTGATTCGGATCCATGAACACCCCTAGGTAGAAGAACTGATTCTCTTAACGCTGTGTTTGGTTGGGGGATTTAGGAAGGGATTTGGAAAGGGAAATGGAAAAGGAAGGTGAAATGTGCATAAAATATACCTACATTTCACCTAGTTTCACACACCTTTTCTCTTTCATTTTTCAAATTCCTTTTCAAATCCCCCAACCAAGCACAGTGTAAAAGTGAACAAATTGGGTAAGCAGTGTGATCTCTTCGCCTCAAAACAATTTTCCCATGCTAGCTAGTCAGACCCCCATAGTGTGGTGGTAGACTGGTATCTTGTGCTGAAACAGCATAATATATAGTTATATGCTAATTTATTTTTGAACAAATGTTTGCTGCATCGTCTGTCATATTGTGCGAGTGATTCTCAATGGTGCCTTTTGTGCAGAACCTAATTGCTACAAAACTTGGGGTTCAGAAAGTCACTGGGATAACAGTGTTTGACACAAGAGAGAAGAGAACATATGACTCTTTGTCAGATTTGGAGGTTAGTCATTCATTGTGTCGTTGTAAGCCAGTGAGCAATTCAAATGTTTTATGTCAACATTTTGACACCTAGTTCCACCAAAGCTTGTTAGACCGGCTTGGTCCAAGGCTGGATCTCCCAGTGGGAATGTTTGAGCTTTTTGTCAATTCCCTCAATGCTTTGTTTGAAAAAAGAAAATTGCTAATTAGGTGTTATATGTTATGTTACTTAAATTTCTTTGAAATGGTCGAAACTTTATCGTTTCCTAAGAGACAAAAACTATACTCGCATATATATTAGTATAGTAATACTATATAATTAAATACTATTGTTTTTATTATTATTATCCTAGTCAACCTTTTGATCTTATTTGTTGGAATCTCATGCACATATAGAATTGTTCACAATATTCAACAACTTTTGGTCCGTAGCAACATTTGTTTATTTTATATTTTTTTATCTTACGTTGTTCCTTTATCATTATGTGAATCAGTGAATGAATCTAGAAATCTAATTATGTTTAATTAATAAATTTTTAGGCAATTATTCATTTAGATAAGTTTTAGTTTGTATTTCTAAAATTTTCAGTTATTTTCATATTATTTTTCTCTTTTGAATTGTTTCCATTTCCATGCTAACCGAAACAACACACTGAAACGAAATTTTGATCATTGACAGTACTCTTGTTGGATGAGCAAAACTGAGTAAATAGGCTCATCCATTTCCATAGTTTATTGATCAATTTTTTTTGCATGCTGCAGATATTTGTTGATTCAGATTAATTCAAGTAGTCTGACTTGATCCACTGCGGAGGCTGATTTATTTCCAATTTTTGATGAGGATTGATCCTTCCAATGAGCAACAGATGCCATATTGTTGCTTTTTCATTGAACTTTCAGTCAAACAAAGCAGTTCGGGACCAGATTCGCTTCAAATTGTCTCGTGTAATGTTGTTTTCATAGATTGGTGCTATTGTTAGACTTGCCACTATGCTTCTGAAGAACAGTCTCTCTGTCCCCATCAAGGCAAGCTCTTATGGAGTTCTTTTATTTTTTTTTGGTGTGTGTGTGTGTATGTGTTGAAATTATTCACTGTTCCATTAACTTATAGGATCAAATGTAGTTTGTACATTGAATGGGGATAAATGATATTGATTTTTCCGACTTCCTTCACAGTGCAAGGAAATCGATAACTTCCACACAGAAATTTACATGTAGTTTTTTTAAATATTATTTATGCCAATTTTTGAGATTCCCTGTTGGAAGCTAGTTGTGATGCCTAAAAATGTGATTTCCTTGCCGTTGGTTCCATATCCACATTTTATAAAATTTGATCATTGGATTGCATTTGGTTACATTCCACCATGATGTTTGTTTACCAAATTGCAGGTCAGTCATTGATTGAGTGATGTCTCATTTATATAGCCCTCCAAGTTAGACTCATATGAGTTTGAAATTTGTTAATCTTAACGAGTTTCAAAATGTGTTTAAGCTCAACTTGTTTACTTTTTGAGCTGATCTCAAACAAATTTCAATCGAGTTGATAACGACCCAAGCTTGAGTATAGCTTGGTTTTTTATAACGCATACAAGTTTATCAAGCTAAGTAGTAGCTTGTTCAAGTTTGACTTGATAATTTAATGAGCTTTAAATTGAGTTCAAATTTTGCCTGTTTACATAACGAACTGATTTTAAATAAGTCTTTAATGAGCGCAACGTGAGAGTCAAGCTCGAGTCTTGAGTAACTTGGCTCGTTTTACAGTCCTACTAAGGGGCATTGGAGGGTTATGTAACTCTGCCACTTATGATTTTGTGAGATGAATTTGATCTAGGAGAGTAGCCTACTTGAATCTGGATCAAACTAACGTATGTCACAAACTTTTGAAGGTTAGAATATGATTTGTGATGAGTTCCTGAAGCATTCTAATAATCATTTTGTTGATTTATTTGCAATTTTTTTCCCCCCCTTCTCAAAACAACATTTGTGCCCATATTGCAATCGAGTTTGTTAAGCTGAATCAACCCAATCATTTGTCAATCTCTGGGATATGATCTCTCTCGTTCAACTGGATCTGTTTAGTACAACTTTCGTAAATTAAAAACTATAAAGCTATCAAATAATCAGTTATTTTTCAAGCTTGTTTAAATTTGTTTGTTTGTTTGTTTTTTTGGTTTTTTTTTTTATATTATTTAAGTTATTTCTGCTTAATAAGTTATAAACAGAAACTGTATCAAATAGTCTGACAAATACTTTTACAATAAATTAAGCTATAAACTCATATAAGCTAGCACCAAACAACCTCAATATGCTCTGTTTGGCATGGACAACTGCTATAGTTACACTTTGCACTACCTTGAGGTAAATACAATTAGTAGGGCTTCATTCTTGCTTGTGCCTTTTAAATTTAATCGGTACTTGTAACTGATTGTAAATATTCAGAATTTACTTTGCATAGGTGAGTGCAAAGGGTACTTATCCATTCCTCATCATATATAAAAAGTAAAATAAAAAATAAAGAACTTACAAATTACATAAAAAAAAAAAAAAAACTATTATTTATATGTCAAGAGGGCCAAAGTCAAATTTACACCAAGGGGAATGAATACAGGTAGTGAAACAAGACAAGAAAATTAAAGAAAACCAACAAAAGCAAAATGAGAAATTAAAGAAGAAAAATTGTAGAGTTTTTGGGTGGGAGAGTTCTGATTAGAGATCTCAGACTTGTGGGCCCCAAACAGCCCAATTGGCAGCACTGCCAACTCTGGGCATGCTGGTAACCCTAGAATAGACATCAACCTTGAAGTTGGAACCACACATGGCACCTTCACTGTCAACCCTAGGCATGGCCTTCATCTTGTGCATTGGGTGCTCATAGCTCATCAGTCCCCTCTCATTCTGGTACATACAGCCTACTTTCCAACAACAAAAATAAAATTAGGTTTACTTGTTTGTTCATGTTCATTCATAGAAAACAAAAACAAAAACAAAAACAAAAACAAAAAAGGATATTGGCTAGGGTTAGTTCCATTGATAAAAAATGCTATGGAACTATGGATTATATATAATTACAGAGACTAATTCAGGCCTTGTGTATCTTGTTAGGAGGTCTCATGTTTGAATCTGTCTCCATCTCTAGCGTATCGAGAATATGTTATAGTGTCATTTGGTATCACTTTAATTTTTCGTGTTTTCATAAACAACAATTAAAAGTAAGAAAATATTCATCATTTTTATTTTTATGCAAAAAATTACTTTTCAATAAACGATTTTAAAGTGTTTCCTCCATTAAGGGGTGTTTCCAGAAATTTTTTCTTGAAAACAATTTTAGGAAATAATTTGTCAAACAATTTTCTATTTTTGAGAACAGAAAATGAAAATAATACCTCACATCCATGTTCTAAGACACACTGCTTTGTTTGACTATCCTTTACCTAGCATATGCTAAAAGGGTGAAACATCTAACTTTTTAAAAAATATTAAGAATTAGTTTGGCCAAAATAGATATTACGAAGATATTTTTTGAAGGACATTACAAAAAATAAAATAAAATGATGAATGCTTGGAATTTTTCATCAATTTTTCACTAAATTAACTGCTAATATTTATCAGAAAACAAATTTTGAAACCAAAACTAAATGAAAAGAATAGAAACACATTACCAGTTGGGAAAGGGGCAAATGATTTAGCACAGCTTGCTTTTATGACCTCCAGGTTGTCAGAAATTACCACAGAGCCATCAGCTCCTATACCCCAGAAGATCTTCACAGCTTCATCTGTACCCTGTTGTCAACCCAAATACACAAAATTATTTTCAAAAAAGAGTTTTAAGCAACTGAAAATGAAATGACAAAAGCACCCTCCAAAACCACATCTTTAGATGTTCTTGTACATATTTAGGCCATGTTTGTTTGGGTGGACATGAGTTTAGGATTGGACTAATAGTCCAATAAAATTATTAATCCGATGTTAGTATGGATTAATTATTTTAAACTTGACTATTAGTTAAAATAGGATACATAATCCAACGGATTGGTAGTCCTAGGATTATTAGTCATGAAAATACTAATCCAGTCCGCCTAAACAAACATGGCCTTAGAGTAAGACACATAAAACACATGAACGGATAAAATTTTATAAGATTTATTGGTGAAATCCGTTTCTCAAAAAATCTATCTATCCATATATTTTCTGTGTCTAATCCAATTCTGTATTTGATTTTTGTGTTCCTAAACTTATTGTATTTAGAGAGTGAAAGAGAGGACTTGCCACAGCAACAAAGATGGTTTCCGACTTAGTATCATAGACCACAAAACCAAAGCTACCAAAATGAAATGACAAAAGCACCCTCCAAAACCACATCTTTAGATGTTCTTGTACATATTTAGAGTAACAGACACATAAAACACATGAACGAATAAGATTTTATAAGATTTATTGGTGAAATCCGTTTCTCAAAAAATCTATCTATCCATATATTTTCTGTGTCTAATCCAATTCTGTATTTGATTTTTGTGTTCCTAAACTTATTGTATTTAGAGAGTGAAAGAGAGGACTTGCCACAGCAACAAAGATGGTTTCCGACTTAGTATCATAGACCACAAAACCAAAGCTACCATCCAGTTCCTTGAGGACCTGATGGGCCGGGTATGGGCCTCGGTCACGGAGGGTCCGGTAGGCCTCGATCACAAACATTGCCTCGTTGGCTCCCTTTGATAGGCCATACTGCTTGTTGAGATTGCATAGGTTGTGTAAGCTCCCCAAAAATATGCTATATATGCCATCCACACCACAAAACAGCCTAACAACGTATATCATATCAAATATTAGATGCGATCAAATATCCAAAGAACAAAACTTCAAGGAAAAAGAAAGAGATAAGCTTCAACATATGGGTTTTCTAAGGGTATTATAGTCAGAGAAATGTTTAATAAAGGTATTTTCTAACTATATTTAAGTGAATGCAAATTGTGGAATTAGTCAGAATAAGGTTATTTTTGTAATTTTCTTTTTTATTCTTGAAGGATTATTTAGAATTGTATAGATTTTTGATCTGGGTCAATTAGGGAAACTCATCCTGACAAATGTGGACTCGAGATCTTACATTTGTTGGGTTCTGAAGAAAACGGTTCTAACAAATGTGAGATCTTGGACCCATATTGGGCAACAAGCACCTTTGATTGGTTAAAAATTAAAGACAATTTGGCCTCAAATTTTTTCAATTTTTTTTTATAGAAAACTAAAAAATTAATTTTTAACAACTTCCAAGACAGCCTTTATTTGGCTCTTACATTACCACTTTTCTTAATGCTGTGTTTAGTTGAGGGATTTAAGAAGAAATTTGAAAAGAAAAATAAAAAAAATAGGTGAAATGTAAAAAAAATATGCTTATATTTCACATAGTTTCACATAGTTTCACATACTTTTTTCTTTTCCCTTTTCAAATTCCTTCCCAAATTTCTCAACCAAACGCAACATAAAAGTTTTTCTCAACAAAAATGAGGTTCATGTCCTTTTATCCCACGGGACAAGGGGTACCTGCTGAGCACAGCAGGGTGTGCTGTGCAAACAAAACGGCATAACTTTGATGCTTTCGTTTTTGTTTTTCTATTTTTTGAGTTGTTATAAAGTTTCTTTAACAGCCTAGTTTTGTGGTTTGAAACAAAACAAAGATAAAACCTTACAAATCTTCAAAAGAAAATATTTATTGATGTATTTTTATTTTATTTTTATTAGATTTAATGAGTATTTATTGACTAATATTTTTGGCATTTAAAAAAGAATCAGATGAGACTAGTTTTTTTTTTTTTTTTTTTTTTAATTCAATCTTTGGATTTGATAGCACTGTTCAGGTCCGTGTATCATCTGAACCGTTGGTTTTATAATTTACTATGTATAAATTATTCACCAAAAAATTCAAGTTGATTAGATCTCTGTAACTATATAATTTTATTATACCGGTCTCCAAAAAAAATGAACAATAGAAATGATTTGAAGATAAACCAAATCTTTTTTTCAACGACAAATATAATAAAATTATATAACTATGTAAATCAAATCGGCTTAATTTTTTTTTGTATGAATGATCTACCAAAGTGACCTAAAAAATGAATGATTTTGATGAGCAAAACGAAATCTATGATGGAGCCTACAAGCCCTAACAATGCTGTCTAATCTAATATTTGGACTAAACACAATTCATTCTTTTTTTAAAATTTTTGTTTTTTACATTGATATTTATGAGAGTATAACTAACTATATTTTAGTTTTCACAAATAAAAACATAAAATTAATAAGTCATCTACCATATGTTTTTTGTTTTTTACATATATTATTTTTAAATTTATCAACGCTGACAAATAATTGTACTTCAGTCCGTGGAGAATAAAATATACATAGTTATATTTTAATAAATATGAATGTAAAAAAATACAACTAGTAACATTTGATTTTTTAAAAATCAACCTACTGCCAAAAAAAAAAAAAAAAAAAAAAAAAAAAAAAACCAAACAAAACATATCCATAAAAAGCTATAAAAAATGTCAAAAATATTAGTCAATAAATACTCAATAAATCTCATAAAAATGAAATAAAAATACATCAATAAATGTTTTCCTTTGAAGATTTGTAAGATTTTATCTTTGTTTTTGCTTCAAACCACAAAACTAGGCTGTTAAAGAAACTTTACAACAACTCAAATCCCTAATAATCTATCTTCATTCCCCTCTTCCTATTTGTACAAATAAAAAATAAAAAAATATAGGGAATGCAATTGAGCCAATCCCCATCAAAATTGCTTGGCTGATGAGAGAGAGAGAGAGAGAGAGAGACAGAGAGTACCTCTGATGAACAGAGTGTTGGCGATCAGATGGGGCAAAAGCAAACAAGGCCTTGTTAGCAAAGCCAACAGAGAAAGCATTATTATTGGAATTTGAGTGAGAAGACAAGAAATCCTTCAATGTCTCTTCTGGAAGCTTCGGCTTCTTTGAAGAAGATTGCAATGAAGCTGGGCTGTTCAGCTCCTGTGGTGCATCTGCCAAACCTTTCTTGAATATTGCCAACATTTTCTCTCTCTTTTCCTTTTCTCCAAACAACAAACAAAATCTCAAAGATTAGATCTAAAATCAATATGTAGATAAATAGACACACCAAAACTATATGGATGGAGAAGAATGTGGCATGTATATTGGGTATTTATAGATAGATAACTTTAGAGAGAGAGAGAGAGAGAGAGAGAGAGAGAGAGGTGGAAGCCTTATCCAAAACTTGTGTGGATTAATGATGACACCTTTAAAGGACTTAAGTTATTTTTGGAAATATGTATTTATTAATTGCTTTATACACACAACAAGGTTTGACTAGTGTCATAAGTAATTAAGAAAGATTATCCAAATTCATACTTTATAGGAAAATTATTCATAAACATAAATTTTAGAATAAGCCTAAGAGTATGGATGAATATTACAGAATAGAAATTAAAGATGTGAGATAGAATGGGTTAGTTTTGTGAGATTCATCTATATTTTTAATACTATTATATTTTTTTTGTAAAATTTCATGCTAAAATAATACATTTTTAAAATATACATTATTTTAATGAGTTTTTATCTTTAAAATGATAAGATCCAAAATTGCCACGTGCTTGTTTTCTATGAGATACCTTTATTGGATGGCAGATTTTTTATTACTAAATTAATTTATCTAATATTATATCTTGAGATTTTCTTATCTGGATATGTGTTTTGGGGATTATAAAACCTAAGCATTGTTAAGTAACTTTGATATCATATGAATCTCTCCCTAGATCTCCTCTCTTTTAATTCCCTCTCAAATATTAGATCATCAATTCATAATAAGGTTTTATTTGAAAAGTTAGGATATAATTAAAAGTTAAAAAATCATTATAAATTTTCAAGTCATTCTTTATTTTTTGCATGCATTTTCATAAAAAATAAAAAAGAAAAACTAAAATAGTCAATTCTCAAATAAGATCTTAATGTTAGAGATTCTTAAAATATTATTCATAAATTTACTCACGTAAAAATGGTTGAAGGTTATGATTAATTAATTGATTTTAAATAAATCAATAATTGTCATTCAACATCTTACCTTATTAAGAATAAATTTAATAATGATCTTTTGATATATAGAAAATGATATACAAATATATTTTTTAGATCTATTTTCTAGATTCAATGATGTGTAAGTTACATAATTAATTGATGATTAGAGAATATATGAAAGAGAGTGTTGTTTGTAATATTCTAATTGATTATCACATTAATGTGTTCATTGAATGCTTGCGCTTTTGCATAAATACGTATTCTGTATATATATATTTTTTATTAGCAAATAAGAACTCTGTATTTTCCGGTTTGCTCTGTCTGCTCCTTTTACCCATTGTACAGAAGGGTGTTTTATTGACTTGGTTACCCGTAGCTGGGTTTCTTAGATTAATGTACCATTAAAAAAAAAGCTGTTTGGCAATTCTAGGGTTTTGCTGTACTATTCTTTTGAGTTTGGGTGAGTTTCTCATAGGCTCTTAATCCAAGTTGAGTGTTAGGCTTCTTCTCACGCCAAGTTTTTATGGGTTGCTTCATTCTATCTAAGTTGGGTTCGGGGTTTTTGGAGAAGGGTGTCGATAGCCGCGAAGGTGGGGAGAAACGTTGCCGCCGTCGAGCTACGAAGCGAGATCCAATAGCACAAGAGGGGTTATGTGGTGCGAAGGAGCCACGACGGCTCTCATACGGGTGGTGCGTAATCGATCTGTGAGAGGCTAGATTGTTGTATTATTGGCTTCAAGGTCTTGAATCGAACTCCAAAGTTGCGAAGGGGAAAAGAGACGATGGGCTTGTTTGGTTTGATTTTGGGAGATGAGTTTGGGAGATAAAAAGTACGAAAAGTTGTTTGGTTTGATTTTTTTGGAAAGATGTTTTGAAAAATTATTTTGAGAGAGAGTTTTGAAAAAAGTGATTGATTTGATGTGTATGAGAGAGAGATTTGTTTGGAAAACTTGTTTGGTTTACAAGTTTTGGAAAAAAATTTTGAAAAAATTTGTTTGGTTTGAGTTTTTCTGAAAACTCATTTGTAGAGAAATTTTCCCAAAATTTTTTGGGAAATTCAAACCAAACGAACCCTAGTCGGAGGGGATAGACACTCCTTTTTGGAAGATCTCACAATTTTTATAGTGATTCACATTATTTATGATGTGAACCCCTTATATATATACATATGAGTAGAGCTCACACATTATAAATAATATAGACCACTATAAAAATTGTGAGGATCTTAAAAAAAAAAAAAAAAAAAAGGAAAAAAATGTCTCACTCATTTTTCCGGAGACAAGATAGTCGGTGGATGGTGATGGGGTACGAGAAATTAGTCATTTCAGGCTTATCCAAAACTTTATAAGAAGTCGTGACGGTGATACTGATCTGACTCAGCTTATCAATTCTTACCTGCAGATTTACGCCTCGTTTCGAATCAATCAAATTAAATACTCAATTTTTTAATTAAAAATATCAAAAGGTTAAAATATCATAAAATTTATTAAAAAAATTCTGAGTAACTAGTAAGATCAAAAGAAAATGACAAAATAATAAAAAAATTATAATTATAATTATTAAAATTGATAAATTTTATTATTAATTTGAAAATTATTTTGAAAATACTCACTGAATTGTAATTTTCTCAAATTTATTTGTCATAAGTTAAATGTTATATCAATTTTTAATTTTAAAAATATTATTGCAATTTTTCAAATATATTTAGTGTGCTTGGTTTGAGTTTTCTGGATTAAATTTTTTGAAAACTGAGAGTATGTTTGGTTTGAGTTTGGGAGATGAGTTTTAGAGATAAAAAGTACAAAAATTTGTTTGGTTTGATTTTTTTCAAAAGATGTTTTGGAAAATTATTTTGAGAGAGAGTTTTGGAAAAAGTGATTGATTTGATGTGTATAAGAGGGAGATTTGTTTGGAAAACTTGTAAACTAAACAAGTTTTGGGAAATTTTTTTGGAGAAATTTGTTTGGTTTGATTACTTTTGAAAACTTATTTGTAGAGAATTTTTCCCAAAAATTTTTGGGAAACACAAACCAAACAAGGCCTGAGTTTTTTGATTTTCGTGTTCTTTTGTTTTTAGTGAACTTTTTAAAATTTTAAACATTTTTTTTTTACTTTTTTAGATGCACCTTACTTAGATGTATCTAAAAAGTAAAAAAATTGTGAAAAAATATTTTAAAAAATTAAGAAATACATAAAAATACAAAAAAATGTACTGAATTCTTTTATTTTTTTATTTTTGGTATTTAGTGAATTTTTAAAAGATTTTTTTTACAATTTTTTTACTTTTTAGGTATATTTATGTTAGGTGTGTCTAAAAAGTAAAAAATTTGTATAAAATATTAAAAAAATTTAGTAAAAACAAAAAAATACGGAAAATAAGAAAGTAGAATTTTTTGAAAATTGTTTTTAGAAAAATGAAACCAAGCAAGGTGATTAATTTTTTTAATATTTTAAAAGTTTTATAAAAAAATAATAATTATTTAAAAATTCAATCCCAAATTATACACGTCAAATTAATTACAAGAGCTAATCCTAACATGAATGTTTGGCACAAAATTTACCTTAAAATTAAGTATTTTGTATAAAATTAAAATTGGTGAAATATGAGTGACATTGAAAATGATTTCTTTCTTTTTTGATCAATAGAAATTTTCATTTGAGGTGAAAAAGTCAAACGACACTAACAAAAAAAAAAAATTCATTCCAACAACATAAAGCTTACAAATTACATCAAATAAAGTAAAAATTCTCAAAACAGAACTCAAGAGAAGCTATGAATGTATCAAGATGTAAAATTGCGAAACAAACGTCGATCATAAAAATTTTAACAATAAAATAAATCTGAAACAAATACATAGATTACATCCACAAAGAGAATAAATTACAACCAACCACTAATGGAAACCTCCAAAAGAACAAACAAAACCAAAAAAAGGAAGACAACCTTCATACCCTAGTGGCAAAAACTAGAAATTGGATTAGGTAGAGGTGGGGGCGTGGAGGTGTGGAGATGGTAGATCTAGTGAAGGTGGTGTAGAGGCTGGGAGATGACAGATCTGGTGAGGGACCGTGGAGGCAAAGAGATGGTAGATTTAGGCCAAGTTCGACATCTCTTTAAAAAGATAAAAAATTAAAAAATTACTCAAAAAGTTAAAATATTATCACTATTTATAAAAAAAATATTAAAAAATTAATTTTTCATAAATAAAGTACAACTCAGCTGTGTAGATTGTTCAGCGCTGTGCAGCGTTCTTTAAGAAAAATTGAACAGTTTCGGTGCAATTTTCACACTACTATTCGGCCCGTGGGGACCCATCACGGGTCCTGTTTTGATAATCTGAACCGTTCAATGTGTAGAACTCGTCGAGTACTACATGCATGAAAAAATCACGTTGATTGGATATCGATAACTACATGATCAAATCAGTTTTGTATAAAAAAATGGATAGTGTTATAATTAACGATTGAAAAAAAATAAATCTGATCTGATAGTTATCGATATCCGATCAACGTGATTTTTTTAAAGGCATATAGTACTCGACGAGTTCTACACATTAAACGGTTCAGATTATCAAAATGGGACCCGTGATGGCCTCCACGAGCCAAACAAAACCGTTCAGTGCAATGTCAAAAGTAGCCAATAATTTATTACCATCAATTCAACTTCTTTGTACGGCTGCCAACACACATTTTTAATATTCTCTTACACACTTTTTTATACAATTTTTTAATGTACATTTTTTTTTATAAAAAGTCAAAAAATTAAATTAAACATTCATATTTTTTTCTTCAACTTTTTAGTCTAAAAAGAAAAAAAAAGTGCACTCATTTGAGGCTTATCCAAAACTTTATAAGAAGTCGTGACGGTGATGCTGATCTGAGTCAGCTTATCAATTCTTACCTGCAGATTTACGCCTTGTTTCGAATCAATCAAATTAAAAACTCAATTTTTTAATTAAAAATATCAAAAGGTTAAAATATCATAAAATTTATTAAAAAAATTCTGAGTAACTAGTAAGATCAAAAGAAAATTACAAAATAGTAAAAAAATTATAATTTTAATTATTAAAGTTAATAAATTTTATTATTAATTTGAAAATTATTTTGAAAA